GTGTTTGTTTTGTACAACGACTAAAGATGAACGTTTTGTAAATTTATATCAAAAGGAAGCTTTATCTTTGTTTTTAAATAAATTTTTGCGTAAAGGAGGGTGGATGGGATCGTGGATAGGATGGGTCTCCAATTCGCAGCAACCTCCACGCGGTGAGACCTGGAAAATCATTATTATTTGCTGTAAAATTCATAATCATATTTATGGTATAATTGTAAATTTTATAACAAATAATATGAGCTAATTGGCTGCGCTCGTGGTTATTTTTTTACTTTGTTATTAAGATTTATTATGTTATTAGAATATTTTTTATTTGATTTTTGTGAAAATGTGATATATAATCAATTAACTTATTCATAATCTATAATTATATAACATAATACTCATAATTTGTGTAGTAATAGGAATTTTTTGTTTTAATAAATAATTATAATAATTAATAGTTATTAGTATAATATATATATATATATAATCATTAAAATAAGTACAAATCCCGTAAGATATTTTTTCTTTTTCTGCCTATGATTAAATATATTTCTTACATCTTTTGTTTCTAAATTGTGGAGAGCATATCAAATAAATTCTAATTTTTTGGACAATTGATATTTCAAAACCTGTCTGAATTGTTATTATGAGCATAACAATATAAAATGTGATTTCTTATAAAAATAATTAAGTTTATATTATATTGAATATGAAAATTAATTCAGTGCTTTTATTTTTTATAGAATATTTTATTCATTAATCATTCATGATAAATGACATTAATGTTTTCGCCATTACAAACTGTTTAATTTAATTAAATAATTTCAACATATTAAAGCTCTCTACTTACACACAAAAGAAATTTATATTTGTGTTTCTTTGAATTTAAGATGTGTATTGTCTTTTTTTTTCATATTCATAACTTTTTTTGTGAAAATTTAATTATATAATATTGAAATTACATGATACAAAAAGAATTTATTTTTTAAGAAATTTGTTAAATATAATTTAACAAATTTTAAACACAGTCCAAATCTAAATAATTTTACTTTTTATAGTACAGTATAAAATGATTGGAATTGAAATGTATGTACAATATTTTATGTATTCATTTATCGTATGTTCAATTTATTTGTTTCTTATTGCAAATAAATTCTTTCTCTTTATAAGTTCTACGCTTTTGGTCAGTTTTATATAAAAGCTTAATATAAAAGATAAAACTAAATTTATATTTTTCTTTTTTAATCTTTTATTTAATTTTAATATTCAATTTATTAATGTATTTTCTTTATCAATTCAAAATTGTGAATAATCTTTTGGATTTCTTTATTACATCAAGAACTAAATTTTCTATTTCATTTACAAGAAAGAGTAGAACTTTTATATATGAATATAACATTTTTGTTATATTTAAAATTAGAAATAATTTTAATAATTTAAGAAGAGTATAATAAAAACGGTACAAAATGTGCAAGTGATCTATTATACAATTTTCAATCAATCAGTTCCAAATTTTATACATCCAAATTAATTTTTACTTCAAAAAAATTAAAGAAAATATATTTTTTTTTCCATTAGAAAGAATATTCTATTCAAAAAAAATATATTTAGTGAACAGTAACAAAAACTATTTTGAAAAAAATTCTTCATCATTTGGTCGTATGTCTTGCCCAGGTAGTTCTCTGAACTTCGGACATAAGATCATTTCTTGAAGGTAAACGAGCACTAGTTGTACGAGACGGTGGTGGACCAGTTGTTCTCAGAATGGTTGCTAAGTTTTTCTGTTTTTGTACATTCTTATTTGATATTTGATCGTTCAAATTTTCTTTAGTTGGCATGTGTTTAGGTGTTGTTTCTAAACGTTTACCCTGAGGTGGAGGATCTAGCACAATTGGTGGTACTTCTTCATGTAAGTTATTTCGATCCTGTTTACCCACTGTCTCATGATTGACATTCCTTTCACTTGTACAGGGTATAGGTTTTATAAATGTTGACTTAAATTCCGTATTTTCTGTGTTTCCTATATAATTATCTAACTTGTGCGTCATTATGGGCGATGATGAAAAACTGTTTGATTGAGAAACTCTTAATGACATGGAGTTTGGAGACAATTGGGCTGAATTCTATAAATAGAAAAAATTGTATCAATTATATATATTAAAAAATTCTAGTGATTTTGATATTCATTTATTAAAATTCACTTACAGTTGGTATATTATTAGGTGGGACAAGAAGACTAGGACCCATCGTGTAAGGAGATGGTGTATTATAAGGTGATCTTTGAGGTTGATATGGACTTATGTTGTGTAATCTTTCTAAAAGTTGGGCTTGAAACTGTAATTGATCTGTATTGCTGTTCCCTTGTATTCCAATTGTACTCAGGTTTCCAGGGTAAGACAAAGAATCTGTTGGATAAGAGCAATATGGGGATGGTGGATCCAATTCCCATGGTGAATTTTGTCCTCCTGTTCGTTGGTACTATTTGAGAAATAATAATATTAGAATGTTATTTTAAAAAATATGTAAAAGTGGAGATGATTATATATAAATTATATTAATTGATTTTATATATTGAAAAATTTCACTAATTTCTTAATATTTTAATTTTTCATTAATTTAATAAAATAAATATATTTAATTTCAAATATTAAGAAAGAATAATTTTTTATTACCTGAAATTATATTTTTCTTTTTTTAAATTCTGATGCATACTTTGTAAAGAATCAAAAATTGATAATATTACCTAGCATTTGTTGGTAGCACAAAGTCCAAAATCCCGTGCGAAGACCTGTTACATAACATCATCACACCGACGCTTAGCATAATTATTGGATTAGCGATTTAGCTTTAATGTCAGCATTAAATTGCTATCTTCCAGTCGAGCAATATAGAACGAATCGCGCTCCTTCATAAGCAATATTGTTTTCACGTATTTCAAAGTCTAACCGCTCATACAGTTTCCTTAAAAGGATTAAAAAGTTCCTTATGAAATATTTTTTAAGTCCATTATACTTTTATAAGTCCATAAACCTAATATTTGTCTCCACAAAATATAAATAGTAAATTTGAGCAATCAATTTTGATTCTAGATATTTATAAATATGATATACTTTAATGATAAATTTTGTTGAAATATAATTTTAGCAATTTATATTATTTAAAAATAATATTTTTTAATATAAATAACAGATATCCAGATTTTGATTTCAAATTCGCAATTAAATAAATGAACACTTATATACACTATTTATGTATCTTAATCACATTAAAAACATTAATTAATAAACGCAAAACAATATTTTAAAAAATATAATTATAAATTATTCATGCAAAAAAAAATAATATTAAGATATTTAATTTAAATAAGCAAATATTTTTGAGCATACATTTAGGTTTTATTCAAAAACTAGAATGATAGAACATAATGAAATTAAGAATAGACAAAAAGAAAGAACAATCACAATTTTAATATCCAAAACATTAAAAAAAAAAATGCATTCTCTATCTTATATTTGAATAATCTAAGATATTTGGAATGTATATCTTTTGATTCAAATTCAAATCTTTTTACATCTTATTCTTTAATGACAAGGTGCAAAACAGAAATATATGCATAAATTGTTTTATTAAGAAGTTCATTTAAAAAAAAAATGCGTCAGTACAAAAAATGTTACAGTATAAAAAAAAGAAAAAAAGAAAGAAAAACAAAAAAAATACAAAATATAATGCTAAACGTTAATTGAAATGCAACGTTCGCTTGCTGGTTGTTGAATAGTCATGTCAACATTCATGGTATTCGGTAGAGTGTTACCTGGCCGATATTCGACAGATCAGGAACAGTAGTAGTCTGTTGTATTGTCGCCGTGCCTGGTAACTGAGATTGTGAGGTTACGTGGCCGCTCGAGATTCGTTCTTGTTCTCGAAGATGGCCAACCAACGCACTTATATGCTCTAGAAGCTCTTTATTTTGCATCAATAATTGGTGCGTTCTGGCCTGCAGAAAGAACAGAAAATAAAACATGATATACATTTAATATCATTCGGTTTTCAATGTTTTTTTAAATTTATCTATTAACAATGAAATGTTATTGCAATATATATCTAAAATTTAATATCTAGCAGTAGTATATTATAGTATATCTTCTAGTATTTATTCAAATTTATTCTTGTCAAATTTGAGTAATATTTGTTAATATAATATAATATCTATTTAAATATATGTTAATATTCATCATTAATTACAGATCAAATTTTATCATTATTATGTAAGCAAATGAATATTTACAAATATCTATCTGTCTAATTTATTTTTATTTTTTTTAAATCTAAAAATATTCAATTATCCTTCAATGATCAATATATCAATATATAATAATATTAAGTAAAATGCAATAATATTCATTAGTATTGATTATTTACACTAACATCTATAATTTAATATTTTTAAATATTAAATTATATATATAACATCCCAAAAAAAAATTGAATGCATAATTTTCTGATACAATTAATAACAACATATTTTACTTATATGAATAATAATATAATAAGATCTTTAATTTGTAAATTCAATATCTCTGATTTCACTTATCTACAATTGAAAAATTTGCATTCAAATATACTTTATCTATAATAAATTTACATAATAGAATATTGTGATATTAATTGTAATAAAGCTAGAAATCAAATCAATTAAAATTTCATATGTAACCTCAATGTTTAATTAAAATATTAGAAGCATGTGCATAGTATGTATCTATAATATAATATAATATGCATATTATATTATACAGGCATCCTACTATGCAACATATTTCACTTACTTGAGCTTCGACGCGAGCTGCAGTTTCAGCAGCAAGCTGATCCTGAAGAAGTCGCGCATGGGCAACAGCGGCTCTGGTTTGTTGGCTTTGTTGCTCTAATCGTTCTCGTAACAGTTGAATCTCGTGTTTCAGAGCAGTTAATTCGCCACCAACCAATAATCCTCCGCAATCGGAGGTCACCGTGCCCTATATATAAGATTAATTAAGTATTTATAAATGTTCAATATATCTTAAAAGATAATGTTAAAATAAAATAGTATATTTTCAATAATCTATAATGATTATACCGATGGCGATTGTCTAATCGGCGAGGTAGACGCTGTAGTTGCTGGAACTTCATGCGACCGCAGAAGACATGGAACAGTTGTCTGTTCTGGTGCCGAATCTTCTGTATCCCCTAAGAGTGATATATCTAAAATATACATACATATACAGTGTATTGATTTTCTTCATTCATTCATACACATTATAATTAAAATAATTAAAAAGAAAAAAAGGTTTAGTTTGAAAGGATCTTTTAATTTTATAATTTATAATATTATTATTTTAAAAAGTATTAAACATATTGAGAGTGGTTAATGAAGAGAAATAAAAAATTTCTCGTTTAATTTGAAATAAATTGCTTATAATAATTCAAAAGAAATTAAGATGTTAAACTTACCTTTATGAACAGAAGACGGCGATGGTTGTGATTGTACATTGGGTATTTCATCTTGATCTTCGTAAATGTCACGGTGATTCTCACCATGCTCCCTCTCCCTTTCCTTCTCTCCCCGATCCCGCTCCTCCGTGGCGTTGTTTAAACTTAATTTATGGCACACCTCGAAAGCTTGTCCTACTGTTCTGACCACCCTCATCGCTTGACTCTAACGAAATCCAACTTTTTCATTGAACGTACAAAATAAGTACAAGTAATATTTAGAGGTGGTACAACATGCAAAAATTAGGGTGATATTGTTTGTAACTACTCAACTAATATCAAATTTCAAACACTGAAAGATAAAAATTCTGTGCACAGTATGTTGAATTTTTTAATTGTATTTCAGATTTTTTGAATTTTTTAAATTTCAAACTTTCAAATTTTTCAATTTTAAAATTAAATTTCGAATACATACAAATTTTAACTCTTATATTTAAACTCCTTTTAATTTCTAAATCAGATAAAATGTTCAATCGCTATAAATTTCTAATTAATTCGAATCCTCATTTATATTCCAATACAGAACTTTTCAAATTCTTTTTATCTGAATTTTCATCAAAATTCTTACCAATAAGAAAAAATCAATCGAAGAAAAAAAGGAGGAAAAGAAACTAAAAGACCCGTAAATAACGGTTAGCACATCCTATAATTTATTCCACCGCAATTATTCATCGTCCCCGGAGCGATTCTTCTTTATTTTTTTTTTTTTTTTT